CACTTATGTCTTTTCCCTTGTTGCTAATGTGTTTCCAATGAGCAGAATAGCCCACAACATCTTTCTTTGGTATGCTCGACCTTCTTGCAATGATCACAACATGGCTTTCTAGAAGAACCCAATTGTGCTTGTATGCCTGCCTTTGTTGCTAGGGTAGTTGCCTCAATTGTAGGTCCTTAAGAGGTAGCCACAGCTGGCTATTTCTCCTCCTTAGAAACCATAGCATACACCTTGTTCACAAAGGGAAAAAGTTTCATACTCAAAATTTAAGAAAGCATAATAAAGAAGTTGTCATTTAACCCCATCAAAAATTGATGGACTTTTTCTATTTCATAAGCTTTGGCATCCTCCTTAGCAACCCCACAGGTTCATCCAAAAGAACTTACTGGGGTTGGTTCATATACTTGTAACTGATCCCAAATTGGTTTTATCTTGGTGAAATATGCTATAATAAATCTACCTTGTTGGGTAATAGTGGCCAGTTCAAGTTTCAATTCATGAACTTTGCTTGCATTTCCTTGTGAAAAATTCTTTTGCAAATGCATCCACACTTCCCTTACACTAACACCATATGCTACATTGTCATGTACATCTTGAGACATAGTATTTAGAATCCATGAGAAGACTATGGAACTGCATTTTTCCATGCATGGAACTCTAATGATTTTGTAGTTGGCCTTATGAGGCAATTGTTTACAAATCCCATCTTGTTCTTGGCATAAAAAGCATTCTACATAACCCTTTTCTATGTATGATAATTGTCTTTAGTTAGAGAGATCATTACCAAAATCCTACCTATATCATCACTCAGATGCAAATAATATGGAGAGTTAGGATTTGTTGTCTTCAAGCCTTCTTAGGATCTCCCTTTTGCCTGAAAGGAGTCTTTAATTGTAGTTTTGTTATCTATCATGGCTGGAGGGTTGATTGTAGCAAAATCTTGTTGTCATAGATTGCAACAAAAGCTTACCATCACAACATGAAGCAAAGTCTTGTCGTTTTACTACTTTAATACCATGATAAGTTTCATGGAGGAGAAAATTATGAAAAGATTCAATTTATCAAGAAAGCAATCCCATGAATCTACACTATTAATGTTCCTCAATCATATCTTTGATTACTTTAGCTTAATTATTGCCTTATAAGTTTCTAGGAGGTTAGTGCTAGGTGGTCGGATTCAAACAAAAAGGTGGTTTCTAGTGATGATGGAGATTTTGATTATTCTCGGTATAACTCGATTGATTGTGTATGATTTGGAAGGTGGAGGTACCTTTTTCCTACCAAGATAATTGCTACATGAATATGGTAGGGTTATTAGTGGACGGGAACTATTGTTAGCCTAATTACCTGCTTTCCCCAAAAATTGGGTCCATAGGTGTGAATGTCTAGAAACTCAAGATGTTTATAATGACTTTCTTTCTATATCTATGGCCCAGCTATGCCCATACAATGATTGCTAAGTCAATCCCTAAGTACAAATGGCTCTTTTTACATAATTATTTAAATTCGTTATAGACATAGTTTAAATCTATAACTAGTGCTGTAAGTTATGCTTTCAGTTTAAACTATAATGCCATGTTTTAAAGATTTTGATGTAATCTTATTTTTTATTTTCAATAATAATCTTTAATTTTCATAAAAAAATGTCTCATTATATATTGTTAGACTCTTGTCAGGCAACGCTTTTTTATGCAACATTTTATTAAAAATGTTAATTTATTAAAGTTAATTTGATTTTAATTAATATTTTTATGATTTAATAATAATAATGATGTAATTTTTAGACAGTAACACAATTTTTGTGATAGTAAATTACATAAAAAATCACAATCATAACATTAATATATAGCTATCCCAAACGTAGCCTAAATTACATCTTGTTGTAGGTATAATTTTCCATTTTAATATGTAGACCTTGAAATTTTACTATTTAAAAAATGCCCTAGTGTTAAAAACCGTAGGCTTATACTTATATTATTTGTTTTAAAATAATTATAATTTTTTTACTTTTCTCTTTAAATTGAAGATCTAAGAACAATTTATAAATTTGCTTATATGATCTTAAAAAAGAGATAGAAGATAAAGAAAAACTTTTAGTAATACATAATAAATAATTAAAATAAATGGATAACAATATGATTCAAGTAATAAAAAAATATTTATCAACTTTAAAAATAAAAAAAATAGTAATTAATTTAAAACAAATTTAAGGGGTTTTTTTTTTAAAAGAAATTTATTTAAAACAAAAGAGTAGGTAACAACTTCTCTTAATTTGCTTTTAAGGAGATTATTAGTACACTTTAAAGTTTCGACACAACACTTGCTCACCTATATGTTGGAGATTTTAATTAAAAGTTACAAATTTCATTATTTTCAAAATCAATTCCAGCCGGTTACAAATTCATTGTTTTCAAAAAATCAATCTTG